ATATTTATTTATATATATATCTATATATATGTATGTATATATATGATTTATATAGATAGATTGGGAAAACTCAACCATGTCAGTGGGATACAGTACCTAATAACTTTTTTGAGCTATTTTTAAATACTATTTTTAGATTCAGAGTTTATTTCCAGGGCTCCCCTATCAATGTCTCATGGCCCCCATTCACCAATTCCACACACACTCACAGGAACCATCTTCGCCTATGGCCAGACATCCTCGGGTATGTGTACAATCCTGCCCGCCTCTGGCTGCGCATGTGATCGTCCGCGTATTTTGTTTGCTGCTGTCTTGGAAATGTACCGAACTATTGCACTGGTCAAATGATGCCCAGCCCATACGCTCACTTGCACGGAAAGATGAGACCTGTAATGTATACAGCGCAGTCGGCTTATTAATTATACAAACTCTGTGAAATAGTGAGATTGTGTTTTTTCACCTCACGTAATCATTGCGAATGATGAGGTTTTTAAACCCCGAAACCCCTAAAACCCTAAAACTCATCGCGAACCTTGACATTTTATTGCAAATAGGTAAAACGCACACTATGCGTGGAGATGACATGAGCGAAGGTATCATTCAGATGTCTGTGGGCCGCATCTTTGAACACATCAGCAAGGTGGGTACCTTGAAAGAAATGTATTTTGTTTTTAAACGTGTAACTTTTATATTTATATGGGTATATATATATATATTCATGTATGTATGTATATATATATATATATATATATATATATATATATATATATTCAAGTCTGTGTATTTGTGTGTGTGAATGTGCATATATAAACACACACACACACATATATATATATATATATATATATATATTGTGGAAGTGTGGTTTCTTTCAAGTATATATAAGTATCCGTGTTCACTTACACAATTACATCTGTCCTGATCCTGCTTCTGTGTCACCACCCCAGATTGAGGACCGGGCATTCACTATCCGAGTGTCCTACTTGGAGATATATAATGAGAACATCACTGACTTGCTAGATCCAAGCAAGACGGATTTACGCGTTCGAGAAAACGTATGGCCATATACACTGGGGTCTTGCTCGATCTCAATCCCTCTAAAACCCTAAAACCCTGAAACCCTAGACTCCTCGTGTTTGTTCGTTTGTGAGGGAGTGCTGTGCTCGATCCTCATATCATTAATACCTGTATTTTAAATGGGATGTGTTGGTGTCTTGTATATATATTAGTTGTTTCAAATTGAACGAGTTGGTGGCTTGTATATATATCAGTCGTTTCAATTTGGATGTGCTGGTGTCTTGTATATATATTAGTCGTTTTAAATTGGTCTTGTATATATTTTCGTCCACACAGACCAGACGTTCATAGCCATGGCATTGAGTGTAGAGGCATTGCACAATATGAGCATATATACCATGAATACAGCAGGCCACTAGGTAGTGTTTTGTTATTGGATAGGTACACAGACCAATCACCGACACGCGTGCTTGTCTATATGCATATCAGACACATACAAACTGCGCAGATGTTTAGTTGAAGACAAGACACATTTGAAACACACATGTGCACCAAGCTATATATCCATAAACTGACAGATATGCTCTCCTGCAGTCACAGGAACACGTACACACACATGTCAACGTCATCGATATACCATTACCAGGCATACATCCACACACTACACGTGTAGTTTAGTATGCTGATCTTATACATCCACACACTACACGTGTAGTTTAGTATGCTAGTCATACTCTAAAGTCAGGTACCCGCTCAAGTACACAAAGGGATGTCAGAGTCACACACTCGCGCGAACAAACACGTGATGGATCAGTTACACACGCACGCAGATGCACTAAGTGACGAAAGGTACACCAATGCCACACGGACATACAGGTCGCAGAAGTGTGCATTGTGCTGCAAGCACATGCCGATATGCATCACACCAGCACACACGCACACTCACACATACACACATACACACACAAGTTTGTCTACAAGACCCTTGATACTTGGAAACGCCTTTATCCATTGTTATATGCAGACCTAAAACCCTGGCACGTTAAACATCTAAATCGCACAGTCATATATTCAGGTTAATCCTTAGTTGCAAACCCTAAAACCCTAAACGCTAGTACCCTGGAACCCTAAAACTCAAACACCGATACAGAGCGGAGAGATCTTTGTTGAAGACCTGGGTGAAGAGACGGTGGATACGGCCGAGAAAATCCTGGAAGTGATGGAAAGGGGCGAGAGTACGTATTCTTTGTAGCCATTGATTGGGTGTGCATACGTGTGTATCTATAGATAACCTTGGGCTTGTTTATGTCAAATGTACGTCGCAGTTAAATCTGTATATAATAATATATAAGTATTCAATATACACACCCACTTATATATATATATATATATACACTCACACACACACACAAATATATATATAAATATATATAATTTGTTTCATACAGCTAACCGACACACGGGGGAGACGAATATGAATGAGCGCAGCAGTCGGTCCCACACTATCTTCCGAATGATCATTGAGTCGGAGCCTACACACTGCGATGGGAACGACAACAGTACACACAAGCACGTTGAAGGAGACGACGAGCATCCCGCACACATTAAGGCCAAAATGGTGTCTGTATTGGTATGTGTATGGAGCCATGAATAGAGATGTAAGTCATTCACTATAGACACAAAGTATACCCTCACCAAATGTACTATTACACTATACTGAAGATAACAGTGCTTTGAACCATGATCAAAAAGTCGGATACGGTTATGTGAGCTCATATACGCTCTGTCTGTTCTCTGGCCATCTGCGTTGTCATGCCAACCATTTGCGTGATTTTGCCACAGACATTGGTCGATCTCGCGGGATCAGAACGTATAAGTCAGACCAAAGCGGAAGGCACACGGCTCAAGGAAGGTGCACACATAAACAAAAGTCTCCTCGCACTTGGATCAGTCATATCTAAACTTAGCAGCGATCCCGACGGGTAGGTAAACACACACACATATATATATATATATATATATATATTTATATATATATATACGTATATATATATATATTATTATATA